TGGTGACTAATTATATGCATGACATTCTCTTCTCTTGTTCATCTAATCAACATTTAAATGCATACTTAAATTCCATGATAAATAAACTAAAAGACCAATATTTAAAATTTGGGGTCATGTCAATTGGGTACACTCTTATCTGTCTATCACTACTGAGGATTTAGCTCTGCTACTTAAGTTGCCTGCTAAAGACTCCTAGTTAAATTCTATAAGACATGTACCACCTGAAGCAGTGTGGATTGCAAGCTTATTAAATAATGCTGCTGCTAAAGCAGTAACTCAGAATTAATCCCTTACTTCCTTATCAATCACTTATCCTTCCCTTGTCTTCAATTCCTGCTGGAATTATACAACAAGGTAGTATAGAAATTTATTCATGTCATAATTGTATGCAATAATCTATAACTTTATTTATAGGAAATTATAAACTTAATAATGATGGGAAGGACACATGTTAAAGAATTTACTAGTAAAGAGCCCAGAGAAATCATTATGCCACTAAATAAAATGTAGGTTGATTGTTTGTTCCACACTGATAATAATTGGCAGGTTGCATTAGCATTTTACTTGGGCTCAATAGAAAATCACTATCCAAAAGATTCCCTGTTAATATTTTTTTGAGATACCCTATGGGTATTGCCTAAAATTACATTAAAAAATTCTATAGAGATTACTTTTAACACTTTTACAGATGGCTCTTCAAAAGAACAAGGAACACGTTTGATATAACATTCTAAATGCTCCAAAAAAGACTGTACCCATCCCACTTGCACAGCTCAACAGTCTGGACTTGTTACTTCAATCAAATCTTATTAGATGTTTCCCATCCACTAAATATTCTGATTCTGTTCTTTATTTAAATTTGAATGACAGTTTCTTGGGTGAGCTAAGAAAGAATCGGCGTCATCCAGTTATGTTGGATAGATTTGAAACTTCCGTTTGCACATTCTCACCCCAAATGGTTGGACTAACTGATCCAAAGATTGAGGCTAACTGATCTCATGCATAAATTAGCACATGGAGGGTAGAGAAGCACTGAGAATAGAAACCAACCTTACTTGAGAGAAAAGGAATGCTGCAGAGGAATTGTGAATGTGGAAAGGGTATAACGAAACGTTTGGGAAGAGGTCTTTAAGGATGGAGTAGGAAACAGGAAGTCAAAACAGATGGGACATGAGTAGCTTGGAGACAAAAATGGAAAACACTGGTGTAGTGCACTACTTCAGCTGAGTTTCTTTGCCTTAAAAAGAAAAGGAAAAGAACACCTGTGGCAGCCTTCCCTGCTCTCCTTTCCCATCTCCTGTGCATCCCACAGATCTTGCCCTTCTAGCCTCACTCCCCTGACTTATTGCTTTATTCAAGACCCCCAAACGAGCAGGCACCCTCTGGCAACCCACAGGCCAGGCATGCCAGAAATTCAGGTAGACTGCCAGTAGATTCTCTCTTCCCCCTGTTCCCCAGATCCAATGCCCGTATCTGTTCCCCAGCTCCACAATAGAACACCTGCCTACAGCCTTCCTGCCCTCTCTGCCCACCTCCTATGGATCCCACTGACCTCCCCCACCTAAACTCCCCTTCAGACCTGCTGCTTTATTCTAGCCCCAAGTCCAGCAGACACTGTGCATTAACCCACCAGCCATGCCAGCCAAGAAAGCAGGTGGGCTGCCTGCAGATCTCCCTCTTTCCTTCCATTCCCCTAGATCTAACCTGAGACTCTCAGCCCCAGAGTTCCAGCAGACCCTTTGTGGTGACCATGCTTCACTGACTCCCTCCGTTCTTAGCAGATGAAATAAGACTATCCTTGTGGAAGCCCTCAGGTCCATAACCTAACCACATTGCTAAGTGTCAGCTCCCAAGACCAGAAACACATTTTAGCTGGAACCCCAGTAGCCACAACTATCAGGTCTAAAGAAAATTCCCTATCAGGCAACACACAACCATCACAATCTCCAAAACTTCACAGAGGAAATAGAAACCAAGGAACAAAACACTTACCCAACAAAGACAATTCTAGAAATCAACATGTAGGCCTATAATCAACCCAATCCCAGATGGGGAGACGGCAGTCTGAAAACACAACGGCCAGGGCAAGATGTCTGTGCCGGAGCCCAGCTACCCTACCTACTACACAGAGCCCTGAATATCCCAGCATGGCTGAAGCACAGGAAAAGACCTCAAAATCAACTGTATGAAGATGATAGGGGTCCTTCAAGAGAAAATTAATAAATCTCTTAAAGACATTCAGGAAAGCATAGTATATGGAAATGAATAAAATTGTTTAAGACCTGAAAATGGAAACAGAATCAATAAACAAAGCACAAACTTAGGGAATTCTGGAAATGGTAAAATTAGTAATTCAAAAAGGAACTTTAGAGGCAACCTTCGAGAACAGAATACAAGAGACAGAAAAAAGAATCTCAGGAGTTCAAGATGTGACAGAAGAAATGGATACTGCTAGGGACTGCCCACATTCCAGAACCAGATTCCTAGCTTGAATGATTCAGTGCCAGCGCCACACCACTACTAAAGGCCAATGTGACACATTTCCACTGTCGCCGTGGTCATATATGTGAATACTCTATTATCTCCTACCCCCATAAAGTCTGAACCATCATGGCTGGTTCTCTCCGTCATCTCTACTCAGAGGCAGCCTTTCATGCCTTCCGCCTCAAGTAAATCTCTTGTGTGAGGTTGGCTGCATGATCTTTACGGCATTCATTGGTCCTTCGATTACCTCAAAACTCTAACATTGGTGTTGTGTGATTCAGATAGGATAGCCCAGTGCAGACATTCCCCTTCAGGAACCTGAGCTTTACTGGGACCTTATTCCTTATCTTCAGTCCACCCTCAACAGACCCACCTTCTGGCCCACCAATTGCTTTGCCCTCCATCCATCACGGGCAATTGGTATGTGATTCCTCTCAGTTAATGTAAATGCTTCCCTGAATCTCTGGTACTCTTGTAGGTGGAGGTTCCTACCCAACTCTAGACCCTTTCCCTTGTGCTAGGCTTTATTTTTAGTCTAGATTTTCACCCAGGTGTCAAGTCTCACTGGGCTGTTAGCCCTGACCCCTACTGAGTGTGCTGATGATCCACTAAATGCCATGTGTATTCTTCATTTACTCCTCCCTGACACCCTAGACTTTAGTCTTAGGACCTTCCTCCTTTCCTCACCCATTGGAATGATGTCATTCATATCTTCTGCCCCCTTCCTGGGGTGCCTTTTAGAAAACTTCCAACCTCTCCTTTTGGCACCCAACCTGAAGGGTGCCATATTTATTAGCTTTTTCAATCAAATCTGGCTCAACATCCCTCAGATAACTAATCCAAATGTGGTGGAAAAATGGCACCCTAGAGCCCAATGTTCTTGCCTAAATTAGACTACCCACTGAGGCAATGTATTCAACCTTGGCATCTATTACAGTATCTTTTCTTTAAAAAACTTAGAAGGGAGGAGCTCTTGGGAGTACAAAGGTTATTGTACCAGGTCAGTAGGGAAACCAGGAATATTAACCACATGGGGTTGTCTCCTTAAGGAAGGCAATGGACATTTGTTTTCTACTCAGAAGGCTGGCCTATGTTGTTAATGACCTGGTGACCTTTGTTATCCATAGAGCCAGACCTCACCCATAGACTCCAGAATGTTCATTCCAGACTTTCCTTCCCTAGATCTTTCTCTTTAGCTTTGCTTCTCAGCCAATAGTAGCCATCCTTAAGGAGATGTGTACTTTATAAACTGTGCTATTGACCTCTACACTGTGTATATGATCTGGATGATCACCAACACACCAGACTCATCCCTAGTCCCTTAAACTAATATATGTAGCCTATCTCTAGAACCCATTCATATGTAGTATAACCCATTATATGCAGTACATAAAATGACATGTATTTTGAGTTGAGTTTTGATGTAATTATGTCTTATTCTGAAACACAGAACGTATTACATTTTGTAATTGTAGAAATATTTTTTCCTAAACTGTACTATATTTAAATAGGTTTAGAATAAACCACCTGATGTTAGACTCTTTAGAAATCTGAGCCAGCACCAACTAACTTGGGCTGAACCAAGTTTTTCTTCTTGTCTCTTGTGGTTTATTACCTACCGCAATCAAACTCTGAGTGAGCCTCCTCTTCAGTGTTCAAGCAGTTCTTAATACACTCAAGTTGACAACTGATATATACTGGTACAACTCTGAGATCCTTCAATCTCTGGCTGCTATCAATTTCCCCTGTGGAAATCAATTTTTTATGTCTTTTTAATTGTTTTTTTTAATACAGTTTGTTTTTCTCATTTTCCATAGCTATCCCCATTCCCATTCCCTCCCCTCCTCCTGCCTTCCCAACCTCCTCCCCCCATTCACTGCTCAGAGTGGGTAAGGCTTTGTGGAAATCAATTTTATAGTTCCATGTGAAACTCAAACTGATTGACTAATCTAGACTATATTATATTTTATGTTACTCCTGTGTCACAAAGTAGGCCTTAATTCTGCATGTCTGGATAATGTTTTTAATTTACATAATTATGGTGCTTTATAATTAATGAACATTTTCATGATTTCTTATTAAAGAATGTTAGAGCAAGTATGGAACAGTCAATGCCACTTATCACTAATTCCCAACTGATCATACATGGTCATGGGGCAGATGCATTGTGTGTTTCTTTCTCATAATTTCAAAGGAACTGCTCTACTGTTTTCCATAATATGCTCAAATTTTGCAAGTGAACAACTGCAAACAATAGTCAAGGAAGTGTTCAAAGATCAACACAAATAAAAGAACAAATAAATCTCTAGAAATAAACTGCAGATATTAATGAATTCCTTGAGAAATTTGAAGGATATTTAATGAGCTAAGCAAGAAGAACACCAAGTAAATGAGGTCAGAAAATTCACAGAATAAATGGAAAGTTAAGCAATACAAAGACGACAGACTGTAGCTCTGAACACTACAACATGAGAAAATAGGTGAGAAATCTTCAACTTTGGGGAAAAAGACATCACTTACTATCTCCACTAATCCCATCTAGGAGAAACCAGAGGACACATGGAGAATTCATTATCTTTAAACTACCAAAGAGGGAAGGACCTGATGAGCAGCAATAGAAATGAGATGTGTCCTCTCTGAACAGAAGCTGAATGGAGGAAATAGTGCAAGTCAAAGCAGCAACATGGAATTCAACAGCAGTGGAGAGATGAAGGTAAAATGCAGCAAGATTACAAGATTAAAGCTGCAGTGAGGAGCAGTGCATGCAGCCAATGCTCCTCAGGGAGGAATATGGATGATCTTCAGGACCTTAGAAGCTCAAGGGCAAACCACAGCACTGAAGTTAGTGTGACAGTGAGAATGTCACTTTGTGTTTGTTTTCAGTGGATTTCACTTATGAAACAGCACATGGAAGAGCTTGTTGTGTATGACTTAGGACATGATTAACATGCATCTCTTAATTCTGAGTCCTATTAGGCATCATGAACTATTAAGAGTAGGAACATATCCTTTCCACATCATACATGATTCATCAGTGAGGAAGTTTTGAGATCTGGGGCCTGTCATTACACCAATGAATAAAAAAACTGTGCTGCTTGAAATAATTCACTATCCTTCCATAGCAGACTTCTCTGTAGATCAGAAGCTCGGGGACAGCATTTTACTGAATTATAAATTCTTCCATGATTAGAGATATCCTCTCAAAAGTTACTGCTGTGTTCCTAACTACAACATCAATATGATATACATTCTTTTGCTACATTACAATGGCCACAGGATGTTCTCCAGCTCTGGGCTCCAAGGGCACAAACAACTACTCACCTATAAGGATCATCCCAATTCTTCTAATGCTGACATGAGGCGTCAGCTATGGCATCACATATGCAGGATCCATACTTACTCTCACACTGGCAGTGATACCTCCAAGTTCTTTGTTGTTTTGTTATCTGAATCCTTATGCAATACCTCCAGATTGTCTACTGTTTCCTTTTATTATTTTAGCACTAAATTTTTATTAAGAATTTTTTAATACAATTTTTTCTCATTTTACATAGCTAACCCCACTAATAATGGAACACTTCAACACCCCATTCTTACCACTGGACAGGTGAACTAGACAGAAACTTAACACAGAGAGAAAAAGAGAACTAACAGATGTCATGACTCAAATGGAATTAACATTTATAAAACATTCCATTCAAACAAAAAAGAATATAACTTCTCAGCACCTCATGTATTCTTCTCTAAAATTGACAACATACTTGGTAACAAAGTAAACCTCAACCAGATACAAAAAAAATTGGAATAACCCCCTGTATCTTATTGGATAACAATGATTTAAAGTTAGAATTTAACAACCACACTAATTGCAGAAAGCCTACAAACTCATGGAAATTGAACAATGCTCAATTGAATCACTCCTCAGTAAAGAGAGAAACAAATAAAGAAATTAAAGACTTCCTAGGAATCAAGGAAAAAGAAGTCACAACATATCCAAACCTATGGGACACTATGAAAGCAGAGTAAAGAGGAAAGGTCATAGCATTAAGTGCCTACACAAAGAAAGTGGAGAAATTTCACACTAGTAACTTAACAGCACATTTGAAAGACAAAGAACAATAAGAAGCACACTCACCCAGGGGGAGTAGATGACAGGAAATAATCAAACAGAGGTTGAAATCATTAAAATAGAAACAAAGAAAACAATTCAAAGAATTAATGAAACAGAGACCTAATTCTCTGAGAAGATTCACAAGATAGATAAACCCTTATCCATACCAATCAAAAGGGAGAGAGAGAGAACAACCAAATTAACAAAATCAGAAGTGGTCATACTACAAAAACCTGTACTTCACAAAATTGAAAAATATAAAAGAAATGGATAATTTTCTGGATAGGTATGACATACCAAAATTAAATGAAGACCAGGTGATAAGTTTAAATAGACCTATAACCTGCAAGGAAATAGAGGCAGTCATCAAAAGTCTCCCAACCAAAATAAACCCAAGGCCAGATGGTTTCAGTGCAGAATTCTAACAGAACTTTAAAGAGGAGCTGATAGCTATACTCCTCAAAGTATCCCACATAAGAGAAACAGAAGGAACATTACCAAACTCTTTTTATGACGCTAGAGATACCCTGACACTGAAAACACAGAAAAAAACCAAGAAAGAGAATTACAGACCCATCTCCCTCATGAATATCGATGCGAAAATATTCAATAAAATACTGGCAAACTAAATCCAACACATAAAAAAAAATCATTCACCATGATAAAATCCAACCACACTGAACCTGATAGAAGAAAAAGTAGAAAGTAGCCTTCAATGCATGGGCATAGGAGACCACTTTTTAAATATAAGACCAGTAGCACAGACACTGAGAGCAACAATAAATATAATGGGACCCCCTGAAACTGAGAAGCTTCTATAGAGCAAAGGACACAGTCAATAAAAAAATGGCAGCCTACTGAATGGGAAAAGATCTTCACCAACCCCACATCAGACAAAGGACTGATCTCCAAAATATATTTAAAAAAACTCAAGAAATTAGACATAAAAGTACCAAGCAATTCAATTAAAAAATGGGGTACCGATCTTATAGAGAATTCTCAACAGAAGAATCTCAAATGGCCAAAAGTTACTTAAGAAAATGTTCAACATCCTTAGTTATCAAGGAACTACAAATTTAAACAACTGCGAGATACTACCTTATACCTGTCAGAATGGCTAAGATCAAAAACATCAATGATAGTTAATGCTGAAAGGTTTCAGAGTAAGGAGAACACTCATCCATTGCTGGAGGAAATTCACAGTTGTAGAACCATTCTGGAAGTCAGTAAGGCAGTTTCTCAGAAAATTGGGAATCAATCTACCTCAGGACCCAGTAATACCACTCTTGGGCATATACCTAAAGGATGCTCAATCATACTCCAAGAACATTTGTTCAACTATATTCATAGCAGCATTATTTGTAATAGCCAGAACCTAGAACCAACCTAGATGCTCCTCAACTGAAGAATGGATATAGAAAATGTGGTACATTTATACAGTGGAGTACTACTCAGCGGTAAAAAACAATGATATCATGAAATTTGCATGCAAATAGATGGAACTAGAAAAAACTATCCTGAGTGAGATAACCCAGGCCCAGAAAGATGAGCATAGTAGGTACTCTTTCATAAGTGGATACTAGTTGTAAAGCAAAGGATGAAGAGCTTATACTCAATGACCACAGAGAGGCTAAGTAAGAAAGATAACCCTAAAAGTAACATATATAGATCCCCCTGGGAAGGGGAAATAGACAAGATTTCCTGAGAAAATTGGGATAAGGGGATGGGAAGAGTAGGGAGCACAGAAGGGGAGGAGGAGAGGAGAAGGTGACAGGTGAGGAGAACTTGAGGGAATGAGATAGTCAAGATGTGGTAATGACAGAGAAGGAGAGCAAGGACAGAGATATCTTGATTGAGGGAGCCATTATGGGTCTAGCAAGAAACCTGGCACTAGTGAAATTCTCAGGAATCAACAAGGATGACCCCAGCTAAGACCCTAAGCAATAGGGGAGAGGGTGTCCAGATTGGCCTTGCCCTATAGTCAGATTAATGACTATCTTAAATATTACCATAGAACCTTCGTCCAGCAACTGATGGAAGCAGATGCAGAGACCTGCATTGGCGCACTAGACTTGAGCTCCCAAGTACAGTCGAAGATTGCGAATAGTGAGAATATGAGCAAAGAGGTCAAGACCATGACAAGTACACTCACTGAAACAGCTTACCTGAGCTAATGGGAGCTCACCAACTCTGACTGGACAGGAAAGAAACCAGCACAGGACCAAACTAGGCTCTCAGAATGTGGGGACAGTTGTATGTTTGGGACAGACTGTGAGGCCACTGGCAGTGAGACCAGGATTTATCCCTCCTGCTTGTACTGGCTTTCTGGGATCCATTCTCTTTGGAGAGATAACTTGCTCAGCCAAGTTATTGTAAAGAAGGCCTCAAAGCAATGTGTCTTACCATCTCTAAGGAGTGGATGGGGGGAAGATTGGAGAGAATGGGAGGAGGGAGAGGAAATGGGAACTAGGATTGGTACGTAAAATAAAAAAGTTTTTTTTAAATAAAATAAAACTAGAAAATATTAAAATATAAGTCAACGGAATTTAAGAGAAGATACCACTACCTATATGTAGGCAGAACTTTTTATCATCTATATAACCAACCAATTAGAAAAGCTTTAGATTATCTGTTATTGCTTTGGCTTATTTAGTGAAAAGTTTAATAGTTTTTTAAATTAATTTTATTTTATGTATATGGGTATTTTGCTTGCATGAGTATCTGTGAGTTATATTCCTGGCATCCATGAAGCTCAGAAGAGGGTGTTAGATTCCTTCAACTGGAATGACAGTCAATTGTGAGCCGCCATGCAGGAGCTGAAAATTGAACCTGGATTCTCTGGAAAAGCAACCAGTGATCTTAACCACTGATCCATCTCTGTAGCCCTGACCAGTTTTTTTAAAAAAATGGAAGAAAACAAAGAAAAAGAACTAACCAAGCAGAAGAGATGTCTAAAATGAAAACACGAATTTGCCAAAAGGAACTGAGAATGACACAAAAAGATGGGAAAACCTTGCATGTACATGGAATAGGACAGATTATAAAAGCATAAGTGTTAAAAGATTTATACAATTAACTCAGAATTCATGACAATCAATTTTCTCATGATTGACTTTACAGATATAGTAAAGAGAATCCTATAAATCACATGGAAGCACAAAGAGTCTGAAATATCAGAGCAACTCCAGGGACACAGAACAGGGCTTCAGTCATCCCAGCTGTGATTTCAAATGACAGTGCAGAACCACAGGAACATGAACACCAATACAGTGACAGAAGAGAAGACACCTAAAGCAGTAAGAGGAGCAGATATGGAACCAGGCGAAGCCATTGAACTTCACCACAATTCCAAAAATGTATGTTATAGGATAAGCAGCCTCGTCAAATGATGGTGTTAGGAAAAATAAGTATTCACTCATGAAAGAATGAAACTGGGTCCAACTCAATGAATTGTGAAACCTGCAGAGTAACACATGGGAAATAGTCCACATATAAACATAGGGACCTAGTTTCTGGATGGCAGAACACAAGAGTAAGAAGCAGCAAACAGAATTATGTGCAATTAAAAACTTGCATGGAAATGGTAATAACTGAAAGTATGAAGAAAGGGCTTACACAATGGATATTTTTAAAAAACCCATAAAGTAAGCAAATAATGTTCTAATAAATACATAGGCAAAAAGAAAGAAAGAAAAATTAGTAGGAAAAAGAAAAAAACTGCTCAAAAGCAGTTGAAACAGTCAAAATGTAAATAGCATATGCTCTACATGTTTAGTCATGAAGAAAATGTTCATCTAATGTACACTGAGATTTCTTTGCCCAGTCAGGGTCTACACTCAAATTCCTAAACAATAGCAGACACTAGAGACAATGCAGGAGGAAGAACAGATATAGTATCTTTGGGAATCCAACTCACTGCAGCCATCAGGCAAGACAGTGTGCAGCTCCTTGAACAACCAAACAAGCAAAAAGAGAAACCCCAAAGCAGATACTCCTCAAATTTATAAAGGAATGAAATATGCTGAAGAATATCAACAACATAGAAATGAGCTCAGAAAGAGGAAAAGAGACATAGAAGATAGAAAACAGTTAACAAAATGGTGGTGAGTTTATTTTTTCCTTCAGTGATTTCTTGAAATGTATGTGGATATTATTCCTCAAACCAAACATGAAAATAGGATACAGCTTCAGAAAACTCCAAACAACGTGAAATCAATGAAAATTATTCTTACTTCAAATATAAGGATACAAAATGCTAAGAGTGAAGGAAGTTTTTTTTAATAAAATATGCTGTCATGAGGGTTGGTCATAATTATGGTAGGTAAGAGGAAAAGCCAAATCTATCAACATACAAAAGAAAGAGTATAAACTAATGATCAAGTGGTCCATTTGCCAGAAAGCCCTGTGATCAACATGAATGCATTTCACAAAAGTTTTCAAATATATGAAGCAATCACTGACAGAATTGTAGGAAGCAACTAGACAGTGATGCAGGGAAGCTTCAGTCAGTGATGTTGGAAATCACAGCAGGACATTTGTGAGAAAGACCATGAACAGCACAGAAAACCAATAACACCTATCAGGACTCCAGAGAATCATGCACACAAGAGCAGAAGACACTCAGTCTTCTCTAACTTCAATCAGCTTGCTCCAGGGTGGATATGTCTTAGAAATAGAACAAATCTTCAAACCTAGTAATGATCAAGGTTTGAAAAGTGTCTCCTTTGGGTGGTGGTGGTGCACACTTTTAATCTCAGCACTTGGGAGGTAGAGGCACACCGATCTCTGAGATCATGGCCAGCATGGTCCAGAGTGAGTTCCAGGAGACCCAAGACTACAAAGAAAAGTCCTGTCTTGAAAAACAAACACACAAAAAAACAAAAACAAAACAAAGTGTCTCCTGCAAGAACCTAGAATGCTGACATCAACAGTAGCTAGAAAACAGAAGAATCCATGGAAGACATGGGAACACTGACTCACTGTTGACATGTTCTCATTCAAGCATGTGAAGAAATACAAAAGGATGTTTGTGTTCTGCAAAAATTCTATGTCATTTGTACCAAGATTGTACAGTCATTTTTTTAATATAGAGAAAATGTCCCTAAAATTTATAAAAATTTTGAGAAACCACAAAGAGTTAAAAAAATTATGAGATAGCATCAAACCCAGAAATGATTTCAAAATATATGAAAATTGTAGCAATGCATGAAGACATGAAGACAGATGACAGAGGGTACCAATGGGAAGACAAAAAGACAGACAGAGCTTACTACTCCGTTACTAAGAGTCTTAAGGTATTAAGAGAGATATTAACCAAATTTTATCAAAATACTACTGGTATTACCTTAGAAGTGGAGAAATTAACCTTAAAAGATACAGAACCTGAAGGAATTGTTCTACCTAAAAACTATATCAAAATTAAAATAAGGAAAACTATTTAATATTGGTGTGAAGATACAACCAGCAATATGAATGAGAGACAGCATCACAGTCAGATAAATTATATTTGCCTCTGAGTATTAATTCTTTTTTTGGGGGGGAGAGGGTTCACGTTCTCTGTATAGTCCTAGCTGTCCTGGAACTCACTCTGTAGACCAGGTTGGCCTCCATGTCACTGAGATCTGTCTGCCTCTGCCTGCCAAGTGCTGGGAATAAAGACGTGCACGACCACCACTCGGCTGAGTATTAATTCTTACATAGAAAGACTTCTAATAAATATAATAGGACAATCCTGAGATTATTCTCAGCAGACTTTTTAAATAATCATTTCTAATGAACCAGAATGTGGCAAAACCATTTTTATACCCTGTTTCTACTGTCACTTGAGCCCCTCCCTGTTGTGGGAATCTAGCAGAGTCACTGTATCTAGGGTAAACATTAGAATGGATAGTTGTTTTCTAGATGTACTTTGACCCTGAAGAAAGCACTGTGGAAAATACTGACTGTTTTCTGTGATTTATAAAGTTGTTTTTCTGAAGCAGCTTTACAGCTTTTGCATGGCTTTGGTCACAAGACAATCTGGGCACACCTGGATAGCTTGAAATTATTGTCTACTGTAAACCAGTACACAATAAGGACTAAAGCGGCAGGAGTGTGATATTTTCCTTTAGAAAACTTATAGATTAGATCCGGGCTATGGTATGAGGAACTTGTTCTTCTCAAAAAAACAAATTTTGTGTAATAATAAAGAAGGGCCTAAAATTCATCTTGGAGTGACCTTTCTTCGACTGACCTGAATAACATAACACCCGACGCCTCCCTACCCTTTCCTCAATCCTTCTATCATACCTGGATCCTTTGCTACTGTCTCCTCTCTCTTCTCCAGCCAGGGGTTTGTTCTGCTTCACAGGTGAGCAGGCCCGGCTGCGCAATGTGAGACCTGAACAGGACAAAGAGATTCTTCAGAAAGCACCCGGAACTTTTCATGGAACAAAAATGAAAGCTGCTAACATCTGACGAAAGGATAAACATGAAGGAGCAAGAAAATATCAAGACAAATGTCTCTTTCTCTAAGGATTTCACTTTACTCTCCAAGATGTGAGACTCATTCACACACAGCTCACAGGCATGCAGAGTAGTTTTCCAGGAGCAAGGGAGACTGCAAGAAGATTATTCTCACCTTCAGGATTCACACTGCTGCAGTTCTCCAACAGATCTCTGCAAAATGCCCTGAGCAGGGTCTAGGCATTCCCACTCCTCCTGCAAAGGTCACAGCACTGAATGTCAACAAACCCTGAAGTAAAAAAACCAACAGACTGGCCACGAGTGTATGGGAAAAGTGCTTTTCTTCAACAAAGGAGACAAATTTTCTGATTTAGGTGAGTGATCATATTATTCAAGCAGTGCTTTCTAATTTTGTTTTCATCTATGAGTTTTCTAACTATAAAAATAGTGTGGCCTGATAATCCTCTCACAGCACACATAGTGCCCTTGCCTGGACCTAAGAGGTTACATTAAAAACCTAGCATATGAAGATATATTTCTGAATGCTGCATTTACATAATAGAACACATAAATCTCTGATGGAAAATTAATGGGGAGTAAAAGTTTGCTTAGTAAAAGTTAATGTTCTCAACCAAAGCTGTGGTACTTACTTAACACCAGAGATTTGCACTCAAACCGTTTACAGCCAGCTCAAGTCTTTATACCACAGCTGGCTGGGACCACACCTAGGCGAGGCTTCAAGTATCTAGAACACAGAGTTTTTAAAGTCAGAGATCTCAGTTCAGGCGTTTGCTTGGCATTCGCAGGGGAAGTTTTGCAGTGTCAGCAGTTTGAAGCAAGCAGTTTTTTAACAGGAGCTAAGATAGGATGTTAGAAACTCTGAGAAGGGTTTCTGCGCACACAGACAGCTAGGATGTGTGTGTTTACCTGGAGGAGGTTCTCCACAAACAAACAATTTTTTAAAAAGGTTAAGAAAGTTTAGATAGGATAGAATTTGCTTCCTAGAATAGAGCTGGGTAGTTTTCCGTAGATACTCCATCAAGGAAATCAGTTTCCAATTAACCCTGGGAACGGTCTCAGCAAGAATACAAGATGGAGGAACCTCTGCACGGCCTTGTCCTGTCACAGTGTATTTTCTGATTCAGTTAAACCTGCACGAATTCCTCATGTGACTAATACCTACTAAGCTCTCTGGTTACCTAGTCCCAGTGGCTAAGGCCATTCTCTTGGATAAGAAAGTGATAGAACAGGGGAATTAAGAAAGCATGGATGAATTTAAATTTCAGGGGCTTTGTAACTGCTACAATAATAGCAAAGAGAACCGTGTTTGCAGACAGCATATAATACAAACGCTTTACCAGGTTATTTTGTGAAAATATTCTGGCATAAGCATAAGATAAATGAAAGAAAAAAAAAACCACGATAAGTCCCACCTCATAGGATCTCAAACTTACCGACAACGGAACAATATTCACAAGAGAATTTTAAAAATTGTGTCTTTCTGAGCAGCCTCAGCGAACACACCCCTGGCTCCTGGGTCCCAGCCCCGCAGCTCCCCTGACCTGGGAGGTTCCAGGGCCGCTGGACTGCGGTTCTCGCCACTGCACGGCTGACTGCTGACTTTCCAAGGCCACCGGACGTGTCACCTGTGGTTACCCGGAGTTTTCTTGTTCTTCTAGAGAAGGCACTGTCTTCCGCCCCGGATTCTGGACTACGCGGCTCCCCGAGTTCCCGCAGGGAATGGTACGTTTTCCTGTCACTCTATTCTGGATCCTTAGAGCGCAACCCTGGCTCCGCCCACTACAACCCGGATCTGGTCACTGTGGCTCTTCTAAGCCCGCCCACGCCAGGCGCTTTCCCTTTTCCAGGCACACTCTTTCTTTTCCTCTTCACCGCTCTCGGGGGCGAGTGTCCCCGCCCCGTCGAGACCTGCCCCGCCCACTCCGCCTCAGGCTGCCTTCCACACAACTCCAGCAGACAGGCTGCCCTGGACCCGCTCTGCACAGCCTCCCGACCTGCTTGCTCCCAGCCTAGAGCAGAACTGGATCTAGGAGGACGCTGCACTGCGGTATCTGACCCCACACTGGGTTCTGACCGCTTTAGATACAAATAATCCCGCCTAATTTCTCATTTTGGAATATCAGCCTTCTAGTCTTTAAAAAAAAAAAAGTCGTAAATTTTAATAGCTTTTTGTTCCATTCTCAAAATATAATATTAAAACTGAAGGGACCCCGCCCACAAAAGGGAGGGTGCTTCCTCCCTGACCCCGGATTAGAACCACACCCAAACAACTATCTTCTTCACATCTTCACAGAGAGATTCTTTATTAAGCGAGGAGGGAGTGGAGGGGGGCGCGAATTAAAGTGACCGATTTCTGACTCAGACAGTAAAACAGCAGTAGGTTTTACTTGACCTCCTTAATGACCTTGAAGGTGGAGGTCTGTGTTAGAATGGACTGGGATGCAGTGGTATGTTTTGATTGGGCAAATTAATTAGATTAGGCAAAGGGAGATTTCAGTTGCTGGACTTAAAAACCTGATAGCTAGGCATAGTTAACCTGTGGAGGAGGAAGTGGCCAAATAAGGAAATGGACCTTGATGGTTAGCTTTAAACAGGTAATTTAGTAGTTTTTAGCAAGGAAGAGGGAATTAGGGAAGAGCAAGGCCTGCCTAAGCCATGTTTGCCATGCTGGGGCTTGTTAAAGTCCTTTCAAAAACTAAGACAAAATTCCATTGATTCGAGTCACAAACTGTAGCTGTATTCTCTCAGGAGTGCAAGTTAAATGATACCCAGTATACAGAACTCAAAATGAGAATCGTGTCCAGGGAGGACAAAGCATGTGAAGCAGTCATTTTCAAGGAGGTCAAAGCATGTAAATGTGAATGACCTCAAAGAGACTAGGAACAAGATGATTGATGGGTGAGAAAACACAAGCAATGACAGAAGAAAATGAGGACAATGTAGGATATGAAAAATGAATTCAATAAAGAGTTTGAAACACTGCAAAAGAAAACCAAACTGAAATGGAACAAAAAATGAAAAATGAAACAAATCTAATAATAACTCAAAGAGATTAAGTAGGAGGGAACTCTCAGATTGAAGACAAGGTAGAGGAGCAGGATAGCTCAGTCAGAGAAAATGATGAGTTAAAGAAAAAGGCCCCATGCAAGCAGCCCTAGATGCAGGTAAAAGGGAAATTCCTGCTGCACATTCTACTCTTCTTTGAAATAACCTAAATTTCGAGACAGTAACTCGTTCTGAAGAGATGTGATTTCTGGGAAGGTGGAAAATCATTTCCATCACTATACAAATGAAGTGACACTAAAAAGCCACCTCTATCCTTCCCTCCCAGACCTCCACTACTGCCAGTCAAATATCCAGAATTACACCATTAGCAATATTGACTCGGGGGAGGGGGGGAAACGTTTCAGGAACTCAGGATTTTAAAAGGAAGTAGATATCTCAGGAAGTCAGGGATTAGTGTAAAGTTTCAAACCTGGGATAAATGACTGGGGTTTCTACTTAACTTATTAAAGTGGACCTGGTTTCCAGGTTCTCCTAGCACCCCTCAGTCCCTACCTGATACAGGGTATGGCTGGCAGATTCATTCCTCTGCCCTGATCTCTCCAGCACAAAGCCTGGGTTGCTCTTCCCCCAGAGGTTCTTTCCTATATAATCCAGACATTTCGGTTACCCATCTTTTTTGTACCTTTGTCCTCCTGGCTACTGGACCTGGTTCTCCTATTTCCCTATCTCTTTCGCTGTTCCTCTCCCACAGAGCCCAGCTCAGTCTGGTCATGTCCACTCTGGACTCTCCACTTGTCCCTGCCCATGCCTCTACCTACCCTCTCTGTTTTATCTACAATGAACTTTCTCCTCCTCCATCCCTAGGAGCAGTCATGTTCTTTCCTTTTTGTTTGTTTTCTTCATTCAGTCAGCCCACTGACAGCCTAGTGTTGAATTAACCCTGCAAAGTCTTGATATCACCACAAGATAGTGGCTTTGATATTTTATTTTACTAACTCTCAAGGAACTTTGACCTCCAGAAATCGTTTTGAAGGTGCTTTTAGATAAAACATAGAAAGCTTCTTTTAAAAGAGAATATAGTGCTGAATGCAGAGATTCATGACTGCCCCCAGACACAGAAGATAAAACAGCATATAAGGCACAGTCTGAAGCAACTCAGTTACACCATTCCATCCGTGTGTCTCTGGTAGTATTGAGGAAGAAGAGGTGGGAAGGAAACAAGAAGGGGAGGAGTGGAAGTTGCCACAGTATTCCACTCTTCAGACTCCACACAACTATTGTAACCAGATACCAGGAACAACTGTACTTAACTGTACTGGGTTCACTCAAAATCAGCCCTAGCCACAGTCAGTCTAAGAAGGGGAGAGACTCACAGGACCCCACCCTTTACCTCTCAACTGTGGCTATAGATGGATCTTAGGAGAAGGGGGATCACTGTCTTTATTTGTGTCTTTTCTGCTATGTTCACCAGACTCCAACATATATCCCCAAACCCACATCCTCAAGGGGGGTGGGGGTGGAGAGAGAGAGAGAGAGAGAGAGAGAGAGAGAGAGAGAGAGAGAGAGAGAATTATTAGAAGAATAATCCAGGATTGTAGGGAGTCAGGACTGAGAGTGCACAAAGCAAGGTATATTCTGTGTAAGGGAAAAATAATAAAGTAAAAACAACATCAGTCTGTAATTTCACTTTTGTGTCTTTATCTGGATTGGAATCAGGGAATACCAGTTTGTTAAGTGTCTGGAAGCCTTGCTTCCTTTTCACATCAAAGAATACTTTAAGTAGCTTTATTATCAGTTATTCTCTGAAGTTTTGACATAATTCAGTGATGACTCAATCTGCTTCTGGGATTTTTTTGAATGGGGTGCATTTATTAATGCTTCCCTGGTGTTGCTGTTTATTTATCCTTTTATTTATTTCATGTTGGTGTAATTTTGGTATGTAGTATGAATCAGGATATTGACCCATTCTTTTTAAAGTTTCCAATATAGTTGGCCTAGAGATCTTTAAAGTCAGTAGGCATCAAATATGTGTTTGCACTTGTGTCTCCTGATTAGGCTGTGCAGTTAGCTTGGGTACTTCTCAAGTCATGTTAACAAGAGTCCTGTATAGATAGCTATCAGGGAGATGTTGACTGAATCTCCTTTAAGATTATATCTCACCCCAATAAGGATGGCCATCAGCAGGATAACTAACAAATTCTGGCATGAATGTTAGGAAAGGGACACTGTTATACACGGTGGGAGTGTAAACTAGAGAAGCCACTTTGGAAAACAGTCTGCACTTTTCTCAAAAATCTGGAAATAGAACTACCGTATACACTACATTGTTTGGTCATTTCTTCATAAATGGTCTCTGGAGTATTGTCTACAATTTTCTGTGTACACCCATACCCTTCTACACAAACCAAGAAAAAGAGACTCCAGAATTAATCAAGTCTCCTCAGAGACTCTAGCTAAGAAATAGATATGTCATGATTATAAGCAACAGGCTTCTCTGCTGTGTTCTGAGGTTCAAGCTGTGCTGTGATGATCACGACAGCTAAAAAGGCACCCCAGCTCTGTAGGGAGGTAAGCACACAGAAATACGAATGCAAACACAGAAGTCTGCCTTTAGAGCACAGGGTTCTGAGTGCATGGGCACCTTTCAGATGATAGGGCTACTTATTTCACATAGTCATAAATTTATTGTTTGGATTAAACACATTAGTGATTAACTCTGTGTCATCAATGATGCATCTTGTTGAGTTAAGGAAAAAAAATGAAAGCATTTCCCCTTGTAGTCATTTAATTAAGGGCAAGGCCAGGTGTGAATTCTCGTCTTCATGTTCCTTGTGTCCTATTAGGGACAGATAGACGCAGACAGAGAAAACAGACAGACTCACAGGGACAGATTCATAAGACAGCCTTCAGGCAGGTATAGATTGAGACTCATGTAACAGATGGACAGCAAGGACAGAAGACACAACAGGCATGAAGTAGAGAGTAAAATCTGGAGTCTCTCTTGGTTAAATGACTTCAGTGGGAAAATAATTTTATTTCTTTCCTTCACACTGATGCATTACTGGTGACTAATGCTTTTAATTGGTGACTAATGCATATGCTAGTGTAACAACACAACACTTAATGAAAAGAGAAGCCATGAATTTGAAAGAGAGCAAGAAGGGATATATGGGAAGGTTTGGAGGAAGGAAAGGAAAGGGGAAATGATTTAGTTATAGTATAATCTTAAAAAGTAAAAGGAATAGGTTTTTAAAAAAGAAATGAAGAGCTGGGCGGTGGTGGCGCACGCCTTTGATCCCAGCACTAAGGAGGCAGAGGCAGGTGGATTTCTATGAGTTCGAGGCCCAGTCTGGTCTACAGAGTGAGTTCCTGGGTAGCTAGGGCTGATACACAGAAAAACTCTGTCTCCAAAAA